CATCTGCAATGATTTATAACAGCGTTTTCCAGAAGTTTAGACGCAATTATTTGGAGTAACAGTAGGGAATAATTGGAAGCATGGTGAAATGTTAATTTCAAAGAGAGGTATTTGGATAAAGTTAAAAGAATTATAACATCACTAACAACACGATATGCGATAACACCGTATCAGTATACCTTGATGCAACAACACATATCCTCCACCAATCCCTACAAATGCGCTTTCTACTAGTACCACTTTTTACTTAGGCTTGAAAATGTCGTAAATGTCACATCAGGTTCATCGATTGTGTTGGCGGTTGTGAGGATATGTGTGTGTGTTGGAAGAAGGAAATATTATTTTCCACATCTACGTCCCTTTCAAATGTAAAGACAAGCTAAATAAAGCGTTTTTTGAAAATGACAAGAAAAACAATTGGATAAATATTCTTTTCATGTTATTGATAAAATACACTACAAATATAAACAATTGAACAGTTAAATGAAAGGTAGATTTCAGACTGTCCCACATTTATAAAATGACCTCCTAAATGCTTTTGGTACCTGTAAACTAGTTCCCTTAACTGCCCGCCATGTAGGAGTGCGATTATATTGTGCCGAAGCTCACATCACTCGGAATCTTCTGGAAACGAAGCGTTTTTATTTCTTTATTTTTTACTGTCAAGTTTAAATTTCTGTCTTAATTTCACCATTAAGAGTTCTAGAGTATTGAGATACTGGGATACGTTCCAGGCAATAGATGATGTGGAAAATTATCGATATGGCGGTGGGTCAGTGATAGTGAACAGAATCATAGGCATTGCTGGGAAAAGAGACCTTTATGTCTATCAAACTGGTCTCCATACGACCCGAATTTACTGTAATGAAGTCCTTGACTCCTTTGTCGGGAATTTTGCTGTAGATGTAGGCCCTTGCTTCATTCTTATACTGCAAGGCCAGCCATTTAGAATGAGGATGTCAGAGCAGCAAATACACCAAAGGACTATTGAACATATCATTTGACCTGTCATCTCATCGCACCTAAATTCCAATGAAAAAGAAATTGAAGTATTTTGCACAGTCTCTGTGACCTGGTTTGATATGCTTCTCTCCAAATACAGCCTTGTATGAAATAAAAAAGAAGCAAAAAACATTCGCCTAGACAGAGCCTCAGGTATGCTAGTAGTATGTTGGAAGGTCTTTTCACCAAACTTGTCGAAGATATTTTCAATCAGAATTTGTTCCTCCCCCGTTTATCTCTTCTAGAGTTTGAAAGTATTTTCACGCAATACAAAACAGCATAGTTGAAAGAAATGAAATATCTACCTTTTCTATCATTTCTCCTGATGGAAGTAACTATAATTGTCAATTAGCCTTTTCTAATGTTTCTAACATATCATGATTTTATCTCAGTATAGAAATCATGTGTCACCGATGAATAATAAGCCTCTTATCAATCCAGAAACGTATTTTTCTCCTCCTATCTGTTTGAGTTTCACTCATGTTTTATTTATTGAGTGTAAATATTCCAATTTTTTTAACAGAACAGTATTTCCATTTTGTTTGGGAAGCCATAATATTGGTTTGAAAAAACTATTATATATATGGTTGATAATTTAAACATTTCAGTGATTCAATTGCATGAGATAAAAATGGTTTTTGTCAAGCAGTAAGTAGAAATAAATAAAAACACCTATGTAAATGAATGGACAGCATAATGTGAGGTAAGATTTAGAAGCATCAAGATGTGTTTACAATCTTATATTTGATCTATATACCTATTTCAAAGGTCTACTGGTGCTTCCGATGCGTGAACTTTAGCGAGGTGTACCTAAACAAATATTTAACGAAGATTGACTAACCATCGGTACTTTTTTAATCGGGTCCTATGACAATAATTGAGAAAGAAACTTTTTGAAAGTATCTACACACATGACAAGCTTTAGAATAGTAAGTTTCTCCGACAATGTATATTGATTAAAATTACAAGCACGGGTTCACCTTCATATACATATATATATATATGTGTGTGTGTGTGTGTGTGTGTGTGTGTGTGTGTGTGTGTGTGTGTGTGTGTGTGTGTAGATAAATGTAAGTTTAAACTGAAAAGTTTCGCTATCAAAAAGACCGGCAAATATGGCGGAATAATAACGTCATTTGATGTGGTTTCTCACTGTATTAGGAAATATAAGATACAATCGTTATCATTAGAACGTTTTGTGATTTTTTGGTTTTTCAATGAGAGCAAACAGCTGTATGCATATGAGGTCTTTAGAATAAACAGATAAAAGAGGTGTATGTATTAAGACATGTTTATAATTATGAATAGAAAATAAATCATGTAAGAGACTTTAGCGTTTTGTACAAATATACCGTATATGCAGTAATATTTGACCATGGTAAGTGTCTACTACCTGTTAAGTAAACCATATTCAAGAAGATGAATCAAAGAAGAATGTCTCCTTCTGGAGATTTATAAGTCTTCTAATGCATGCTTACTGGCAGTGTTCTTATGGCTTCACATATTCCATTTCGTATGCAGTTTTCATTTAAACTATTCAAGCATGTCAAGTTCATGTCATTTTGATAGATTTATCACTTCCTTCCCAGCATTAGTTGGTGGTCACCACACTGACAACCATGCAGGAATCCCGCCGCATGCATTTGAATAAATTCGGATAAAGTTGCTGTTTACTTTATTCTCTTCCAGAATTCCGCCTATATAAATACCAGACATCTGGACTTCAAATTACTATTTCGATTTAAAATAAACTTTTGATTGAAATGACATATATGTTTAACATGTCTGAAAAAATCTAGTAACCATTCGAGTATAAAGTCGTTATATTGTTTAAGATTTTTTTAACAAATACTAATAATTCAAAATGATACATCTGGGTAATAGCAATTTGGATTCATTGATGTATTAACGTTGGATGTTGAACATTTTAAAACATTTAATGAATCACAAAACACTGTGTTTATGCTTTAAACAAGTTTAATAATAACAAAGAAGGACGTATTCTGACCAAGGATTTCGAAAGTCTTGCAAGAACATGACATTTAACAACAGCATTGCAGGTACTCAAACAATATCTATGATATCACTGTGATGTAGCATTAACAAAAAGTTTCAAAATCCTTGGGTCCTTTTCCAAATTCAGCATTCATAGAACTTTAGTTACGACAACAAGAATGGCAATATAAGCAACAATGATTTCTTTACAAATAAGATTTTATATTCTAGACAAACCGTTAACAATAAGACTACCCAATAACTTTCCATTTCCAGATTTCCAGTTGAAATCTACGTTCAATATACAAAGAGAGAGCTTTTGAAAATATGTATTAAATACAAATCAATTTTGAAGACAACAACAGCAAACGTAACATTGGCTATGACACGTGACAAGAATTAAAATCTATTGCAGTTTACGTATACCCGCGCCTGACAGCTGCACACAATATCACAACTAAACTTGTTTTAAACCGCCGAAATTGGGACCCTATACACATTCTAAGTATACTGCTTTCGGATTATTCTTCGTTATTTTTGTTTTACGTCCCATCAACAGCCAGGGTCATATAAGAACCAGACGGGTTGGGATGGTGGTTCATGAAGCAAAATCATCTACATGCGGCCGGTACCATGAGACTGCCTCGAATCAGGGACCCAGAGGTGGAGGGCAAGTGATAAAGACAATCAGATGTCTTAACCGCTTAAACAGACGGTGTTGAATATAAAGTTACGGATAGTTTTGTGAATTCGAAAAAAATATCTTTAAAAAATATGCTAAAAATAGCGTCAAACGTCAAATTAACTTAAATGCCGTAAAGACATACCTGGTTTCAGCTTTTGCTGATCTCGAAGATGGAATGAGTTCGCAAAAAATAAATACCTTGATATTAAATAAGTAGAAAAATATTAAGTCAGTCTCGTGACTACGCATGAGAAAAATATCCAGTTGACTTTACACTTGTGGTAAAGCTGCGAACATTTGAACTGTTGGGGAAAGTATATTACTTTCACTACGAACGAAGTTTCAACTGACGTTATTAATTATGAAATAGTATTTGGTCAAGATCGACACAATATGAAAATTAAATATTCTTGTAACTGATAATACTATATCTGAATGAGAATATTTTCTCCATCGGTATCCTAGATCTCTAAGACGACCAATGGATTACGGATGACAATATAAGACAAGATATTTTACAAAAAAAACTTTGGCAAAACTGTATCTAAATGCAAAATTGGTATTACAAGTGACAAATTCTTTCAAATCCTAATTGCTTTGAAATAAATGGGCATTATGAGACAAAATGTTGTCTTCGGTTAGAAGACGATATCTTCATCATGACTCAAGGTAACATATGGAAGTATGTAATCACAGTAATTTATGAATAAATTAAGGATGTTATGTACAAACCAACAATAAAACAATAATTGGTCCCAACTAGCCACATGGAGTATTTGTTGAAAGCCAATTATCATAACACATGCATGCATTTACCTTGTATACTCAATTATGATAGAACTTACATTCATTAAAGTGTTCATTTTTTCTTAATTTCACCTGCGAGGCCATGGTTTTCCACGATGGCTTCTAAAAGATGTTAAACTCCTGACTCACTGAAATGTTAACGATCATTGATACATTAAAGACGTTCACTCCTCATTCTTTGTCTACAATTATCTTCCATCTGGATACATTCCTCTGGCATTCGTTCATCTATTAACCTACACGCTACAAGGTTCTCCTTGTCTAATATTAACTTTTTCCCACATTCAGCTTTCGTTAACAATAACATCTATAATCTCTTAACGTATCCAGTTTTCGTCAATAATTTTCGACATATTTGGAATGGATTTATATTGAATATCGCACAGGAAAAAACACCAAAAACAATGCTACCGTTGGACATATCACAGCAACGACATAAGAAACAAAATGAAATAATAAGTCTCACGTCAAAATGAGTTGACGAGATTTGTTGTCATGGTAACAGTCCTTTTCAAGCACATTTGCAGTCTTGAACGACCATATCAGCCAGATCTGTAAAAACTAAAGTGTTGTACGAATTTGCGTGAAGGATTGTCAGGGGTTTGAATGATGATGGTATACAACAGGGTGCCGAAAAACGGGAAGGGTCCATTTTATGAAGAGTTGATTTGATTCCTGTAAAAGTGCTTGCCATTTTAAAGCGATCCGGACAACTTCCTTCGCAGTGAAAAGCTTCATAATCTGTGGGAGCCATAACCCAATCCCAGCCAATGTCATGAAAATTGATTTGAGTTCTAAATCTACAGCACCTGTCCTCTCCGTCACCATGTGTACAATCACGACGTCCAGCCTGTCGCTTGGCGCGTTTCAGAATTGGTCTTTCCTCTGCGTCCATGTTAAGTACTGGAGTGAAATTGTTAGACAAATGTACCGGTAAATGTGGAGCTTTACCTTCGTCATTATGTAAATTTCTTAACAATAAATTCTCGTCATTGAAAGAGATGAATTGTGTGATATTATGAGTATTTGACGATACCATAACTCCATGGTTTGACTGTGGGTTATCTATCCAGTTCTGTACTGCATCAGATATGTCAAAATCCTCCCATCCAGATACAGAAACATCAACTGTCTTAGAGGAGATCTGCTTTCCTTTCACTAATTCTGAGTTTTCATTTAGTTCAACATTAAATACTTTGACGTCCATTGAAGAATTATGTCTTATATTTGAACCAGATTCATTTCTCTGTTTTTTGAATAACTGCAAAGTTGCAGAAAACACAATAAGTTCTTTGTATATATCCTTTGAAACTTGTTCTTGGATGTCATAGAACACAATTGGTCCATCCAGGTTGATCATGTCTGATCTCTGTTGTTTGTAGTAGCCTGTAATACACAAATATATCGCATATTTATTCATTTGATATTTAGTATTTTTCGCACAATATAGAATAATGTTTCCTATGATTAATTTGATACACCAAAATGGTTATTACCATAATTGTATGATATATATATAAATTGGATATTTCGTTTCGGAATTGTCATTACAAAGGCAATAGAAACACGCTAATAGTTGGTAATTCATTACTACCTGAAGTGAAATTCTATTTCTAGTATTGATATTTGGTTATCGTTGACAATTACAAACCGATACTACATTAATAACATTTGTTAACCATCATCATAACGTCAACTTATCAAAAAAGCTACATACATACGATTGACAACCTATTTGTTTTAAGGTCACGATGATTACGTTTATATATTAAGAATATCAGCAAAAGATTTCTTCCTGAATATAGGCCTTTTAAAACTTGCTTATCAACATAATTGAAAATATCAATCTCTAAAAAAGGCTATAGCATTCCAGTCCAATCCTTATAAAATTTAGACCTAGATACGACGTGTTGATTTTAAAACGGTGATTGAATAATAAGATTAAGAGGCTGTATATATAATATACATATAAGTATGTGTCTATCAACAAACAAAAAATATTCCTATAATCTCTGTCCTTAGTAACAACTGTTTTTGTGATCCGCGCGAGGTAAGCATTTTACACTCATGTAATCTACACATTTATATAAATATATAGGTATGCATTGAAAAGCGGATAAAAGTAAACACGTACCATAATTATTGATAACTGATGAATGGTTAACTGTAAGCAGTCTAACATGTATGATGTTGTTCCTTAGAATCTGATTTCTATTCATTTATAGGACCGAGGTTTGACACCTAGGTACACTATCAACATACTTGTATAGGTAACTGTAACACACAAAAAAGACTTGTGTTGTTAAAGCATTATAGATTTCTATATAACAACACTTTTCTATCCTCGTGCTTTGTGTGATGAAATACTGTGATAAGTCATTTTCGGGGATTCTGTTTTTCGCGGTTTCTTTCAATGTATGAATTAAAAAGGACGTGGCTTTCACTGAAATCCTTAAAGGGTCTCTGTTATTTACTATTCTTATCAAATCGTATTTGAAATGGTCTACTTTTGCGATTTATTCCATCTGCGATAAAAGCAAAAACTAGAACTAAAAATATCAATATTTACAGTACGCTCTAAAATGTAATAGACGACTTCCGGTCTAGTTTTCTATTTGCATCATTGCAAGAAGGAACAATATATACCATGTCGTGATTTCTTCGGCGTTTGTCATTTAATGGGTTTTCAATTACTTATTGTTCATTTTTGATTATACATGTTTGAGGAGTATACAACGTTAACAAAACATTAATGATCGTTTGGTCTATTAAAAATATTTATGTATTTTGATGATAGTGAAGATGAAGATAAAGTGTAGCTTATACGGTAGGTAATCATTTCGCCCACACAGTTTAAAAAGCTGATATTGCACAAAACACTCAGTGACATATCATATCTTGATGAAGACCTGTTTTTGCTAAACATTCTATTCATAAACTACCTTACTAACATTGAAACCGTGTTAATATAGACTTTTGATCCTTTTGTTGTCTTATTCAGTAGATATAGATGTATGTAGGTACAAGTTTTATTAAAAGTAGCCAGTATCACAGACATTTGTTTCACTAAGGAGCGGAAACATACATTCTATTACAATTTATCATTTGGATAAAGTGAAAGTGGTTGATGAATGAAATTCTAATTAACAGTTGAAGGGGCTGATTAATTATAAATCTTTTCCGACCTGCGTGATACTGATCAAAAGTAGTTAGTGAACCCGTGATGTATTAAGCAACAATGTGGTGAGTCAACTCAGGGGAGTTTGCTTCACTCCAACCCTTTTAACAAGTCTTATTTTAAAGACTTTTTTAAATAACTTTAATGGTAGCCCAACGTTTACTTTTTCGACGGTGTTCAGACAGTAGCCAATGGACTGATGCAATTTGCTAGAATTCATTTAGCATTATGTATCAATATAGCACGGACACCTGCCTCCGGAATGTTTCCTACATTTTATTAGGAAATAAACATATGGGATTATCCTTAGTTATTCGAGATTGTACCTCGGACGGACGACTTACCACGCACGACTGATTAACAGAAAGTGAACTTAAGCGACTGTACTGAATTTCATTTAAAAACAGATTAGAGCAGTGAGATCGCTCGCTTTTCGATGGCATCCCGTCCTATTAATATGGAATGATAAGTTCAAGTTAAATATATGTATATATATGGGGATTAAAGTGGTTTTGTGGCGAGCCCACGTGTTGACAAGGTTTTCGCGCGTGGAATGGATATGCTTGAATTCACTCAGTATTCTACGCTCATATTTGTGTATAAAATCTTGCCAGGTAACTAGCGATTAAAATTCACTTTAAACACAGGTATGTATTTACAACTGAAGGGTAGGTAGCATTATCTACACCTATATGACATTCTGGGGCGATAAGCGACGTCATACACATATCACACATTTTTCAAATATTTCAGCCTCTAATAAATCTTTATCCATGATGATTGTCTTTTAAAATTAAGCTCAAACTATATATTTTTAGTATCTAACACATGTTAAAATATAGAATAGTATAAGAATCAGCCTAGGATGCATTTTCTTTTGGACATTTACATATGTGTGAGGTAAAGAATGTTTGGCGTCTGCATCGTGTACGGCAGGTGCAAGCTAACAGTCTTACACCTGTATAGGTCGATGGTGGCGCCTCAGCTTTTTTTTTTTTTAAACATTTGTGTGCATGTGTGTTGACTATCGTTATGTAATGATATTATAAAATACAGGTAAACACGGTATATGGGATGTGTTAGACGTAAGTAAGATCTTTGAAAATTCCTATAACAAATTTCTAATAAAAACATGGATGAAATAATGGAAGAAAACATGGTGAACGGATACGATTTACGTTGCAAATAAGAACTGATGATATTGTGTAAAGTCAAAAACTCCAATTTCTCTCTCCTTCAAAAAGGCAATAATGCCGATTAAGCAAAGATTTTGAATTGTACTATCTGTGAAATTTATCCAAGATATTTTGATGAGTACTGGTGCATATCCTGTAAGTATTAGGAAGGCCTTAGATTGTATCTGCATTGTTATCTCTTTATGGGGTATTTTCATCTTAATAACTTCAGCTGAATTGAATATGGAATGCTTTCATCATATTATGTCTATACAATTTCACCCTCTCCTATTATTGTTATGGCTGTCAGGATTCATGAACTCGTATTTGAGTACTTGTTAGTGTATTGCTGCATCATTCTGTGCTTTGTCGAACATCTATATACAGTTGTACAAAGAAGGACACGAAATCGATTGTATATTTCAACAGTAGAACATATTCGTAAGCGTAAATAAGAGATAATACTTTTTGAATGAAAATAATGAAGAATGTAACCTTACTCCAGTAAAGAGCGAAATTAAATCCTTTCTCTGATTCAATACCAATCAGCTGGTCACATACTAATTAAGTAGAAAGTGAAAGTACAAAATTACAATGAAGTAGTACTTTACCTTTATATGTATGCTGTATTCTTTTCGTCTCGGACTCCATTTCTTCTTTATCAGGTAAATGCTGCATGTCGTTTTTACTGATAAGATAATCCCTGAATTCTCTAATTTTTTGCCGTTTGGTTTCTATGCTGTGGGTAACATTAGAAACATTCGATGGCAAGGAATGTCCTATCTGTTCAAGTATGCTTTGTTTAAAAGCTTCAATCCGAAGTTTAGATAGGTCTATTTCTCTCTCAGCCTCTGACACCTGTTTAGAAGCTAACAATGCTGGTTTGCTTGTAACAATTGCTAAGTGTAATGCTACGAGCAGGACCGTTAAAACCACGGTTCTACGTAAAACATATAATATCATAGCGTGTCACAACGAAATTCTGTTAGTATCTTTCTCCTTACACTAGGTTTAGATGTCTTCAGTAATCTACGACAGTACCAGTTATTTCCCACTTTGTGTAGTAGTCTTCTGTTCATAATAAATAGCTTATGAAAAGCCAAAAACTAGATCGCTAACTCCGAATTACAACTCCAGCGTATATGTATTACAGTGCTGAGTGAACTCAAATGATTATATATATAAGGGGGTGTGTACGTCTGAACTGTCACGGCTTCAGTATCCTGATAGCCCCGCCCATGAACTCTGAATGAGAACCTTCACGTACATGTGCTTCTGTTTATGTTACACATAAAGCCATACCTAACTTAGGCGTAAGCGTCTTCTGTGTATTCATTGGCTATGACGTCACACTCATTCACAAAAAGTCGTCGGCGAAGCTACATGTGGAATGTGTCGTAGCTATCTATAGCACAACTGTTGTAGTCGGCACTTGTTTGACAGCGTTTGATGAATGCACAAACTCACACTCACACACACCGCACGCACTCGTTCAGGTATCACTACTGGGTATATAAAGTCTATACTGGATATGGGCATTGTTTAGAACTAATTTAATGATGAAAATTAAAACAATATCTTAATTGCGATATTGTTGAAAGAATATGTGTATAGACCCTATGGTTGTTTTTAACAAACTAATCTGAAACTATCTATAGATAATACTATCAAATTGACTATTTATAGCTTAACAAAACAACAAAATAATACAACGATCACTAAACGGTTGACAGTTGACGCTGCGATAGGATTTATTTATGTCTCTAGATAATAGGATGTGTGTCGTTTAATAAAAGGTAGTTTGTTTCTTGTTAGATACCTTAATGAGGACAGTTAATTATCTAATCCATTAATTAACGGTAAACAATACTTTTTTAAGTAGGGCCGCATTATATTCAGATTATGTATACACGAAACCAGTGTCAAAAGTGTTGCATGCTAAAGTATATACACTACATATATTTACATACCTACCAAGTAAATTACACGTGGATGATAGATATCTAACATGTAACAAGATATATTTCCTTCTAATATTTTTTATCGCATGAAATCAATTATGTGACTCAATTAAAGTATGAAACAAATATTTAATGTGTTATACAATAATATGAAAATGCATGATAAGAAAAAGTAAAAACGAAATGTCATAAAGAAAAAAAAGTTAATTCAAACTATGCCCATATATCTTGAACTTTTGAAAGTACAGACATCACCTTCCTTCGCACGTCCACAAGAGGTCATTCCTTAGCTTAAGTACCAGTGAGTTCAAAGGGGATAGGTAACCCACAACATTGCTTTCTGATGTGATATTGCAGGCTATAAATAGACATGAGGAACTCTCGAAGGCTGGCACACATCGCCCGATTGTATACTCAATGTTTATCTAGTTGTCTGGCTATTGTGTTAGGGTAAACACTAACGCCGAATCTTGTAGATAATAGAAAATCTTAACTTTAGTAATAATAATGCACTATGTGTACAAATGAAGGAATCAAACAACATCAAAATGAATTATAGTAAAGTTAATGAAAGCGATCGGTTTTCCCTCTTATATGCCCTATAATCATTTCTAATTGCCTGAAATATAAATTGAATGTAGCATAAAAATGCTTTTTATGAGTATTCCATTGTAGTACCTGTCCATTCTTTTTGTTATCAAATGTAAATTATTAAATATAAATGCCATATTGATCTGACTTTGGTAAAACAACTTTCTTGTCATCAGCTTGTATTTGAAATAATATCGTTTATCTTTATCCTACACATTATATTGGATATAACTATTGATATCGCTGACTGGAGGCGTTGAAATGTGATCTACGCAAGGAAAAGTAAAACCGGAGTTGATTTCTTCTTTATATAATACTCGGAGACAATATTTTCCTTAACAAGTGTCAATAACCATTTTAATACATTACACAACTTAACACGGGAAAACATCATACGAATATGGTGATTATATACTGATTACGTGTTTTACAGAACACATGTTGGGACCACTCTTCAATATTCTCTGTTATATGCATAGTCAGTGTGGTATTGTGAAAAACAATCAACAACGTCGGGGGTGATTCCCTATCAATGTCCGAGAGTTTTTAATGTGCTTAAATGACTATCGAGTGATGTGACATTAGCCAATGTATTTCATGTGTTTCAATCAGAAGAGATATATGACTGTATCGCCCACATTTCCTTTCGATGTCGCATATCATTTTTCGTATTCGTGAGACAATATTAAAGCATTAAACATCAAACTGTAATCCACCCTTCCCGTTTTCCCATGAGCGAGAGTGAAACTGCGATGAAAATGCTCACAGATACAGAGTACCTATATAATCATTGCAAGCTGGGGAAATACAGTTTGACATATTGTTTTCGATCGTTCATGGTGAATGGTAGGAATAATAATGACAAAAAAAAAAAAAAAAAACCGGAAACATTAACATCCATCCCTACTTCCATTTCAAGCCTTCCGATTTTACTTTTATCCTATTTTTTTCTCTTTCTTCCCTGCCTCATCCTTCAATTCTGTGGTAGGCTGCTGCTACAAATGTCTAACGTGATACGCGCTTTCAAGTAACGCTAGCTATTCAGTCTCAAGCAAAGATTGCGGAAGTTCTAGTACAATCTATTGACACTATAACACTACCTGGAGATAGAAATGTAATCTTACTTAGAACGAAAAGTACGAATAGGATTTCGACTTTGTGGTCCAATCTAGTACACATTGAACGACTTAATTGAAATTTGAGTAAAGCTATACTATCTGACAAAACCGTTAGAAACTTATTGTACAGTCTTTTCTATATTACTAATATGGCAATTAGGACTTTCAAAAATTGTCTATATATAAATCAGACATATATACTTCACAATAATAACATGAGATGTTAAGTAGTATTTAATTAGTAGCGAGTGTTGTCGTACAATACGACATTGAAATGATGATGGACATTATGCACTCCTCGAGATGTTAGTCTGAGACATGTACCACAGGTGGTTGTATTAAATTTACCATTCCGGAATACGTGGTACTCAGCTGATGTCATCGATGTTGATTGAGACAATGCTAAAGTAGATATCGCCAATGTCATGGTATTTATTGATGAAGTCTAATTAGTAATGTGATCTGGCTATCACTTAAAAGACGTGGCATTATTTGGATTTACCGTTAATAATTAATGTCTTATGTTTAGTTTTTAGAATATAGCCATTATGGACCAATGGTTTTGAAGACGTCATGAATCGATTTTGATTGTTCTTTTGATAATACCTTTTCTTGTGTTATGTGTTTTATTTTACCTTTGCTTTTGCTATGTCTTATGTCTATATGTGTGTATGTGTGTGTTCTATTTGTGCCCCGAAAAAGGGACAGATTGCCTTGAAAAAATGACAATTCACTTTATCATACTGTCTTTATTACTTCTTTGATCTTATATCTATTCTAGTAATACGCAACCAACATTTGTTTGTTAGGATAAAGTACTACATTTGGACCATACAGTCGATATTACTTACTAGATTATATATCAAGTAATATCGACGGTATGGTCCAATATCGGTAATAGATCTTAACAACCAAATGTTCGTTAGATATGTACTACTGCAATAGATGATCGCACATATGCTCTCATTTGCTACCATGCACAACGTACAGAAATTTATTTTTTTGATACTTGAATCATCATCTGACAAAAACAAACCAATAAAGGACTTCGGCGTCCATCGACCGAAGGAATTAGTGAGGCACTGCGCTATCGTTCTCGATTGTATTTTTTAAACTTTGCTTTTCTTCTTTGTTTATAATGTAACTTTTGTAATGTTTCGTGTCTTTGATAAAGGTGACCGATTTCCTGTGACAACTTGCTCGTTGTCATCACGACGTTGATCAATATATAATCTATGAAAATGTTTTTTGATACAGCATTGTTTGTTTTTTAAATCACATTTTGGCGTTTATCTGTACCTTCTGAAGTTACCGGTACACGTTGTAACAGATCTAAATATAAAGATACATTAGAACCAGTTAAGTAATTATGTATAGGTAAATATGTAAATTTATATTTATCATTTTTATACTGCTGTTGATTTTCAATCGAATACATGATATATCTTTTATTAATACCGATCATATGTAATTTACGCCATACGGTTATTCTTTACAATATACCCATGCCAAACCTGATTCTGTTCAGTGCATACATTAGTTACAAATTAATTTGACGCTAAAGGTGATAATTGATAATATCACTCAATCGTTTTGTTAAAACATGCGATAGGTTTTGATCTATTTTTACCTTTTTACGGAACTTAAGATAAGTAATCCAAAGTTTGCTAGACTGAATTACACAACCATGCAAAAAAGTGGTGTATTATATAGGGTGTACTTGATTGTCATAAGTCGAAACCTTTAAACCTTTGCCTAATTGTCAAACAACTGACGTCATTAATAGAATCCTTAAATAAAACTGTTGACAAGAGGACATGATCAATTTATCATATTATCATATTTAAGGAAAATATATCATAAATAATAAAACTTGAATTTACAAAGTAGGATTAAAGTACAGTCACGAATAAAGTGCATGTTTCAATGCTTTTCTTTATCAATTATCAAATAGATCTAGCTGCATCGTTAATTATGATTTATGAGTTCCTACCGTGTATAGACTGGGTACTAAGTACATCTCTTTTAACATGATACAGTTAAAATTATTACAAAAATAATAACGATTTTTTTTTATTTGAATATTTACTAATCAGTCAATTTTATAGATGTTAACTGCGTTTTATATTGTTGAAACAGAAGCTCTAACGCTTTTTGAATACAATATACAACTTAGTGTTTAAATTGATTTAAATTGTGTACTTGTTAGTCTAATTTACTTTGATATATATTTTATAAGAGTATAATATAAAGCATTGTATGCTTATTCGACTCACCGCACGACAACGAACTT